TCTGTTCCACTGAACCGTCTGAGCCATTATAAGAAGCTTCAGCAGTTGATCCAACATTTTTGGAAGCGTTGGTCGTTGGAGTACCTTAGCCAATTACAGCAGAGAACCAAGTAGAAGGTGAAGAATGAACAAATTAAAACTGATCAATAAGTTCTCATCAAAGAAGATTTCGTCCAGCCACTATTCTGGAAATTAGCTAGAATCATATCTATTCATCCCGGCAAAGACAATGTTACAAGAGTAGTCACCTTAAGGACTTCTAATGGAATACTGAAGCGGCCAGCAAATAAGATATGTGTGTTACCCGTCGATTGACTCTTTTGACTGTTATCTTCTTAATTTGTTACTGTTGAAAGCAGAGCATTTCAAGGGCGGCGGCATGTTCAACATCATACTGTAGATTTAGTGATTTACTTGTTCATCGTCTTTATATAAAAAATTGTGGCGGCATGTTCGACATCATACTGTAGATTTAGTGATTTACTTGTTCATCGTCTTCATATAAAACAATTGAAGGTTGTTGTCATATAAAACGGAAAAAACAATTTAGAATACACAATTTAAAAAACTGACGAAACAGAATTATTATAGAATATAAAAAATACATTCACCAGGAAAATACAGTCCACTCATTCATAACAATAATAAAAGTACATGCATTCACGTATAACTTGAATTCCCCTTCAACTAATTCGTTGAAAATTTAATGAAATAGAAGTATATATTCGAATTCAGAAAGAAACAAACTCGAAGAAAAATGAAAAAATAATTAGGATGATCAATTTAAAAAAATATCATTCAATCTATTCAATTAGCCCATTCTGAGGAAAGAGTTGAAATTCACATGCATCAAAAACCATTCTGCATTCCCAATAATATTTTTTGATGATGAATGGAAAGAAAAGTATTTCCTGGCCAAACTATGTTCTTTTAACTCATTTGTCTCTATAGCAGTTGTATACATAAGCTTTGATCTTCACCCAATTTTTACTCTTGAATAGTTTTTTATTTTGTCGCATTAACTTTTCCACTTCAGGTTTTTTCGGGGCTATCTTATTTCGTATATGATCTTTGAAAAACGTGCTGATGATACATTTTTGTTCTTCAGTCCATCTGATTCTCTGGATTTCATCAGCTTTCTTCTTCTTTTCCGGGTTTTAAACTAAAAAAAATTATTCAATACTTAAGAGGAAGTTGTACTATGATATGAAGCAATAATGCAAGGGTTTCGTAGTCCATAACTTCTCAGGGTCATTTTTCATTTTGAATTGATGAACAGAATTCTACATATTCGTGAAGGTCTTATCTTTGTTCGTGTCATCCTACTTTTCCGAAATTTGATTCGGGGCTTAAAAAAAATGGAAAATCATCAAAAAACACGTTATTTTGCGATTTTTTTTAGAAAAAACTGAATCAAATTTCGAAAAAATGAGACGACAGGAACATAGATTAGATCTTTACAAATATGTACTAATTTTTTCATCCACCCAAAATGAAAATTAAATCTAAAAAGTTAGGGACTACGAAACCCTTGCATGGTAACAATTTGTATCCAGAGAATGGCGCTGCTCTCAGAATTGAAAGAAATTAACATTTATGAATGGAGATGTAATATACATTCCTTATTTGCAATCTCTACGAGGGTCTGGCATGTGTAAAACATTAAAATTCCATAATTTCAGTGGATATCCCACAAATTATCATTATTTCATATCATTTCATACTGCTCCAATATACCTAGAAATTTTATTTTTAGAAATTACCACAGTTATGTTACGGCGAGGTTCTCACAATCGACGATAATATTTCTTGAGTTCTAGAATCATGGAATATTTTGAAAAATAAAAGTCCATAACTTCTCAGGGTCATTTTTCATTTCGAATTGATGAACAGAATTCTACATATTCGTGAAGATCTTATCTTTGTTCCTGTCGTCTTACTTTTCCGAAATTTGATTCGGGGCTTTAAAAAAATGGAAAATCATCAATAAACACGTTATTTTGCGTTTTTTTTTAGAAAAACTGAATCAAATTTCGAAAAAATGAGACGACAGGAACATAGATTAGATCTTTACGAATATGTACTGATTTTTTCATCCACTCAAAATGAAAATTAAATCTAAAAAGTTAGGGACTACGAAACCCTTGCATGGCAACAATTTGTATCCAGAGAATGGCACTGCTCTCAGAATTGGAAGAAATTAACATTTATGAATGGAGATGTAATATACATTCCTTATTTGCAATCTCTACGAGGGTCTGGCATGCAAATTATCATTATTTCATATCATTTCATACTGCTCCAATATACCTAGAAATTTTATTTTCAGAAATTACCACAGTTATGTTACGGCGAGGTTCTCACAATTGACGATAATATTTCTTGAGTTCTAGAATCATGGAATATTTTGAAGAATAAAAGTCTATAACTTCTCAGGCTCGCAAAACAATTTCATGACAAAATAATTATGTACCAAGTTGAATTTGCTAGAAACTGATCAACCAAGTGAAGGCAAACATCAATGTAAAAACTTGTGCTAGAATTCATTCAAATAACGCTTCATTTCAAGAAGATTTGGATTTTTTATTGCTAGAAAAAATCTCGTCCAATCTACCATCGATAACATTCAATTTAGATGATTTCAAAATTCCAGAAGGTTATGTTTTAGCAGACCCAACATTTAATAAAACAGGAAAAATTGAGCTCCTTTTGGGTGCCAATATTTTTTGGAGGCTTTTATGTCCAGAACAACTAATATTAGGAAAGCATCAACCTTTTCTACAACAGACTCTACTAGGATGGGTGGTTTCTGGACCACTCACACCAAAATATTCTTCATCAGTTACGTGTTTTCATTCACTCGTTACGACGACAGGAACATAGATTAGATCTTTACAAATATGTAATGATTTTTTCATCCACTCAAAATGAAAATTAAATCTAAAAAGTTAGGGACTACGAAACCCTTGCATGGCAACAATTTGTATCCAGAGAATGGCGCTGCTCTCAGAATTGGAAGAAATTAACATTTATGAATGGAGATGTAATATACATTCCTTATTTGTAATCTCTACGAGGGTCTGGCATGTGTAAAACATTGAAATTCCATAATTTCAGTGGATATCCCACAAATTATCATCATTCCATACCATTTCATACTGCTCCAATATACCTAGAAATTTTATTTTCAGAAATCACCACAGTTATGTTACGGCGAGGTTCTCACAATTGACGATAATATTTCTTGAGTTCTAGAATCATGGAATATTTTGAAAAATAAAACGTTATAAAAGTTTATTCACGCGTATAATTTGAATTAGGATTACCTCGGAATTTGTTAATACGTCCATGATTAGGTCGGTCGAATCAGAAACAATCGTGGAAACGATAAAAAATCTACTTTCGTCTAGTTCTAGGCATCTCAAAAAAATATTTATCACGATAAAGAAGGATGCACTTTCTTGTCGGTATCGAAGTTTTTTTCCAAACGATTCATTAGCGCTGCGGTTTGCCACGCGTCTGCTGTCCTTTGACCCTCGCCGCATGATTTCCGACCTTTTATAAAAAAAACAGGTACCGCTGTTTGCTGTTTTCGTAACTTCAAAGCTACCAATGAAAAAAAAAAAGAAGCGTGAAAACCTTTCAGCAAGTGGGGTGAGATAACTAGATAACTAACTGTATTTTCATGTATTTCTGGAGCGATCATTTATGATTTGTCTGTGCACAGTGAAAGTATTGCAATTTTGAAAAATTTACAACAATGCCGCGTAGACGTAGAAGTTCGAAAAAACGATTATGGATGTCATCGTGGAGAGTGTCATCTCGATCCAAAATTCGCCTAAGAAATAAGGTGAGTTGAACTGGAATAGTAACTCAAGATCTTATCAAACCTACCAAATATCTTGAAAATAACTCGCCAAATTCTGACACACATACCCTCGGACTCTCGCACACTCCTATCAAGCTGTGTAGTCTACAAAGCACACAATTAGGTTGAAAATGAGAAAAAAACTAAAACATTTCAGGAAATGAATGGTTCATTCAGTGTCCAGTTTTTCGTGGAACACGTCCAGCTTTTCGTGATACACAAATACATATTGAAGACACTATACATTTTTAGGTGCCATCCATGATGAGTGGAGCTGGAACTTCATTATTGGAGGTAACGCATTCTAGTACCTCACCGGTAGAACATATGGATATTCATACTATGACTGCTCCTATCAATGTGGATGAAGCAGATGGAGAAAATTCCATGGATATTGATGACAATTCAACTGAACAATTTTCAGAAAGTGATATCGCTGACGTGATTCTTCGCGGTGTGAAACGCTTTAGTGAAATTAATTGTTCTGATGAACACGGCCCCTCTGTTGAAGCGACTTTTGAACAGAATTTCGGAAATGAACTGTGTGATATTTCAGAAAACGTATATTTTAAGCATGATAATCTGTTCATAAACGACTTTTGTGGGACGACCTATGAACAAAATTCAAGTTTCAGAAATTATGTGTGTCAAATTTCAGAGAACGAATATTTTCAGGATAATTATCAGATGAGAAACGATTTTTGTGGAAATTTTGACTCGAGCAATCTAAACACGGAAGTAACTGATGATCAAACTCATATGAATCAGGACGAGAGCAAACTCTTGAACATCGATAAATCATCGATGGAAACGTCGAATAAAAAAAAAGAAAAATAACTATGAAAAAATCGAACTCGAAGGACGTAGAATAGTAGATATTCAACATTTAATCGACTCCCTCATTATGATAGGTAATCATGCTCCCCAATTCAGGTGCACTCTCAAAAATCTTGAGATAATAAAAGAAGCGAGAAGAGGGCTAGCCTCTTAAATTACATTCAGATGTAATATGTGTATGTTCATAGAGACTGTAACGACAGTTTCTGATTTTGAAGACCTTAACAAAAGTGCTGTGATTTAAATAACGAACGTGGGGTCTGGGTATACCCATCTCAATGAATTTCATTCAACAATGAATATACCAACGATCTCTTCCAAAACCTTTTCTAGAATCCAAGAAAGTTTAGCTGATTCTTGGGAAGAAACTGCGATGGAGGAAATGGCTAAGGCAGCTAAAGAAGAAAAACGCTTAGCTATTCAATGTGGAGATGTTACTACAGATGGTACAGATTTAATAACCGTCGTGTATGACGGCGTTTGGGCTCAAAGGTCTTTTAGATCAAATTATTATTCATTGAGTGGTGCTGCAGCAATCGTAGGTTTCAAAACAAGAAAAGTCTTATATTTAGCTGTTAAAAATAAGTTTTGTTCAACATGCAAGAAAAATCCGCAGATTACCCCTCAACACAAATGCTACTAAAATTGGTATATCATAGCTGAGGGATTTCAAAAAAGTATTCCGATGTATGGATTAATTTACAATAGAATGGTTGCCGATGGAGATAGCAGTTGTTATGATTCAATACTGCAAAAAGATCCGTACAAATCCTATAATATTACGGTCATGAAAGTAGAATGCCGGAATCACTTATTAAGAAATTATTTGAGGAAAATAAGAGAACTAGTTGAAACAAAAAATGCGGGGCCTATAATACTGTGGAAAGAAATTAAGATGAGAACGAATATGTTGTCAAACTAAAATGCTATTTGTTATTAATAGCAGGATTATTTTCCTGAAATCGGTATTTTTGTGAGGGCACGTGAGGGTGTCTTTGTGATCAATAGATTATTCCCATTGAATCCAAGGTCGGGTGAAAATGTATCAATATTCAAATTGCTTTTTGTAGTATGTCATATCCTTCTTTCTCGCTCAATTTTCCGAGTTATATTTCAAAACATATGACTATAGACGAAAAGAGAAATCCGGAGAAACATAAAACGATCTAGCACAGTAATTTCTTAAAAAAATTCTTTCCATCCGTTATCAGAACTCCATACATGGTCATTTTCTTTATAACTATACCCTTTTTATTATAGAAAAATCTGATGCGATTCAGGTATGCAATTACTGAAGCCATCAAGTATAGGAAAAATAAAATAGTTCCTCCTATTGAGAAAGTTGAAAACTTGAGAAAAGACATATTGAACAGCCCGAAACACATTTTGGGAGATCATACAAAATGTTCGGAATACTTCTGTCGAAAAAAAAATATAGACACAACAACTGTGGCCGATATGAAATTGACTCGTAAGTTATTCAATACTTCCAATAATATGTTCGGCATAATTTTCTGGAAAATTTTTTTTGTAGAAAAAAAAGTCGACTGGTCAGTCGCTTTTCTATCCAATTATGCCTATCGCAATAATTAGTGAAAATATGTTTTTTCAATTCATGCATTCTATGATTAACCCCATGTGAAATGAATGAAATATTATACATCCCAACTTTTCTGCAATCCTTTTGGATTGTATATATATATACAGAGTAATTTCATTATCTGTATTTCCAGCTCTATATGACAAACTAATGGAGTTTGTCAGATACCTCGCGAATCACTCAAACAGCTTGATTTTCGATGTAGACAACAATTGTGCAAAACAGTATGACAATGTGATTGCTAGACAAAAGAATCCATTATGTTATGAAGAGATCTTACCAAACTCGTTGTTATGCGTCTGTGGTTGCCCTGAATACAAAAAAAAAAACTGAGCAATCTCAAATCGAAGTATGGAAAGTTAAACGATCCATTCGTTTTGAAATATGAGTTGACAAAACAAAATGAATGGTTGCAAGCTGCTATTTCCAAAAGAAAAATCAAACATAAGAAACGAAGGGAACATAGAAGGAATGACCTTTTTTTACGGCGAGCATTGTATAAAACCCGATATGGATGACACTTCTTTTGGCATGGCAGCAAAAGATTTTTCAAAAACGTTATCAGTAACTGTTGAAGAAGCCAAAAATATTGAGGTACTGACACGAGATCAGGCTGATTCTGCTCGATGGCATAGTGAAAGGCGAAAACGTGTTTCTGCCTTGAAATTTGGAGAGATTTGTAAAAAGCAAGAAAGTTCTTCAGTGAAAAATATGGTCAAGTCCGTTGTTCATCCCGAACCATTTTTTGCTGAAACCACTCAATATGGCATAGAAAATGAAGCAAAAGCACGAAGACCTGGAAGACTATTTGCAAAGAAGCATGTCAAAATGTGGACTATTCATTGATGATGAATTCAGTTACATGGCTGCCAGTCCTGACGGAATTTTGGAAGGAGAAAACTCCATTGTAGAAATAAAATATCCATATGGAGCCAGAAATATGACTGTGGATAAAGGAATAGTGGGACGAAAAATAACATTATGGAAAAAAGACAGGACCATCAATGAATGCCATAGTTGGTACTTTCAAATCCAGGGTCAACTGGAAATCACCAAAACGGATTTTTTTTTTGTGTGTTTGGACCCCCAAGGGAATGAAAGTTGAGAAAATCCCTCGAAATGACGACTTCTGGAGTGATAAAATGGAAAGCAAAATAAAACAGTTTTATATTGAATACGTCATTTCAGAAATTATAGATAGTAGGACAGATAGAGGCATGGAAGTGCGAGACAGAATAAAAAATAAAAAATGAATTTAACTTGGAAAATATCCTGTTATTCAATATTAAAAAAAATTTAGTACTCCTGGTGCGAGGAATCGTCCCAACTAATATTATTGAATTATAGTTATTCCATTTCTTATTTCAATATTATTTTTCGGTTTACACTATCAAGTTCAAATAAATCGATATGCAAATAACAATTTGAAAGGAATTTAATAAATGATTTGTACAAAATATAATTCAAGGTGAAATTAGTATCGACAGAATACAAAAACAACAGCTTTCCACTCGTGTGGAATTCATTGGAAATTACATCGCAATATACTGACAACCAAGCTCAGAGCTCATGAGAATATTAAAAGAATCTGCATCAACTTGAAAAATCGGAATAATTTTTCTCGCAATTTGCAATCCGAGATGCATTCACCTTGCTGGATTTAAATGGATGCATCCATCACCCAGATTACATTTTGTATTCAAGTTTATAACGACTAGCACTTCTAGTCGGCAACCCAACGTTTGGAGCGTTCTTCGCGTACGCCAAGTCGACAAGTCAGCACGCCGCGGTCACCGCGTCGTACTGAATTTTAAGAATCCCCCTCGTAAATCGGTCTAGGAACGGATTTACAAACGAGTAATGGTTTTTGCGTTATCGGCGTCGTGTTTGAGCTCCACCCACCAGTAGTGAATTTTATACCTCTGCCTCAACCGTTGCCCCTGAGGTTTCGCAGTTTTAAAATTACCTCTTTCACTTAAGAATAATATAGGTTATGTGACAAAAAACTATGTACATTCTTTTCTGAATTGTCTCATTAACTCTCGAGTGAATTTTTCTCGCTTTGTCTGAAATCATAGCACAGCACATTCGAGTGCCCAGTTGGTCATCATCAGTGTGTATCTCTGTAAGTGGAATATCTATGGCAGTAGGGTAAATTTTGAATGATGCTCAAACGATAGCTGGTTGCATTGAATTCAATGTTGACTAGGTAGGTAGTCAAAATTGCTATGAAAATTGAAAATGACCAAGGTCATCCTCAGTACACGATCAGTCTATAAATTTCAAGTCAATACCAGATGATGAAATTTTATATCCACTGAGCGAGATAGACATTATTTGTTTCACTTCTGCTGACAAGTAACTATAGCAGTGGAAATAATATTAGTTTCCTATGGGTTTCGATTAGGAAATATCTTGGATGTGTTAGTGAAGTACTTTTTGCGATTTTTCCGTATCTGTCAGATCAGCTCTGCGCTAGTGACGTGCGATTTAAAGGTTGAAAATCTTGAATAGTTGACTGACGTCTAGACTATTATCATCTTGCTTAGATTACTATGGACAACTTTATGTGATGAATATGATTTCCATAATTCGATGAAATGAAATACCGAGTAGACAACATCTTCCGTTCATATATATTGTATTACTTTCATCTTCATCAGAACTTCGATTGTCTTCATAGTCGTTATTAAAATATTCCGATTCTGATGTACCTAGCACCGCAATTTTTTCTTCAGGAGTTATCAACTCGCTGTAGTTCGTTATTTCACTTCTACTGCTCGAATTATCTGAAAAATCTATTCCGCCAAGGGTTTTCCCTTTATAAAGAGCGCCTATGCCATTATTTATGGCAAGAAGTAATTTGGAAACTTTTGCAGTTTGATAGACAACCTGAGGTCACCTAAAATGATAATTAACATGAAATCAATGAACGCTGAAGAAGTTCATGACGAGATAACGAATAAATACTGTCTGTAGGTTAAGCCTTAGTGAAAATAAATCACATACAGACTTGGGTCGAATACTGAAATCCGGTATTCGAATACGAATCCTGAATACCGTACTCTAAATAGTATTCGAATACTCAAGATTCGAATACAAAGAAAAAAAAGTATTCGAATACCGATGTATTCGAATACCTGGATTCATTCACATATGAATATTTTATGAATATTCCAACTGAAAAAAAAAACATTTAATTGCGCACATAAAGCTCATTTATATTTATGTACCTATGTAGTTAATTTATAAAAATATATAAAAAAATAGAAAATCTATATTAAATGAAACTTGATGAATAATTTTTTGATACAAAGTGCCACAATGAGGTTAAATAAGAAATGTTTATTAATTTTTATTTCTTAGTTTCATTTGAAAAATTATTCAAAATAAAACGATATTCAATTAATGAATGAAACTAAAAATAAAGTACTTTGGTACATTGGATAACAGTAAGGTAACACAAAATAATTGTTTAGGAAGATAAACATGGAAAGTAATCTCAAATGATAAATAAAACTAAAAATAAAATCCATTTTATTTCGAATAAAACATGGGAACTAATAAAATATATGTTTGAACACGCTCAAGTTGCGTTAAGCCGGAGCCGTGGCAACATATGATTGACCAATAATATATAGCGACGAGGATTCGAATCCCGAGATTCGAATACAGGATTTGGATATCGGGATTCGAATACAGGATTCGAATACCGGGATTTGAATACAAAGTGGGTATTTGAATACTGGGATTCAAAAACGGTATTCAGAATCCAGAATACCGAGTACTGACCAAAAAAGTATTCAGTCGAATACCGAATACCAAATTCACAAATGTATTCGAATAGTATTCGAATACCAGCCAAATGTATTCTGAATAGGATTCAGAATACTGGGTATTCGAATACTACACAAGTCTGATCACATATACTATCGGGAGTCCTCACAGGACACTGCCGGTTGAAATTACATCTTAGGAAGCTCGGCTTAGAAGAGGAATACGTATGTCAGTTCTGTGGGGTAGAGGAGGAAACCTTTATCAACATAGTTACGGAATGTGTCACCCTACAAAACGCAAGGGCAAGAAACCTAGGAGCACACCTAAAAGAAAAGGAGGAGATAAACTTCCTTGAACCACCACATATCCTGAAAATTCTGAAGAATAAAGGACAGAAATTGCTATAGCTACAGAGAACTTACAAGGAAAAAACATGAAAATTTCTATGGAAATGAAAGCACTCTGAAAATGTTGTTAGTGGTCCAAATTTTTCAGCAAACATTCAATTTGATTAGGTTCTGGATTAGAATATCTGAGTCCTTCTGGCAGTTTGTTTTCAAGAAAATTTCACTAATTTTTTGTAGAAGAGATTATATTTTAATTATACAAAAGATCAGTGACTTTTTCAATCAAGATACTACAATATAACGAAATGCATAATGTATAAAATCTTCAATTATTATTACACTGTACAGTCGTCTTCAGAAATCATGTCGCGGTTGGACGGTGTCAGCGCTCTTATTGCAAGAGTTATAAAGAATGCTATCATCGTCCATGTGCGACATGTTTTTTGAAGACGACTGTACAGTACCATCCTGCAAGCGATCTTTCATATAGTGCAAGATTTCGAGTGACTTTGGGATTTGGATGGATTCTGTCGCCTGGTGTGTGATGAGAACTTGACCTTCAAGCCGATTCGGATGACCCGTTAGCTCAATTGGTAGAGCGTTGGGCATGATGTAACCCAAAGGTTGTGAGTTCGACTCTCACGTGGGGCGGTGGAGGTTTTTCATTGCCCGTTGTCACTCGAAATTAGGGCTTTCCATCGTCTTCATTATTATATGAATCAAAACAATCAGTCACGTATTAAAATTTTGCATGCATATGAAGATGTAAACAGTCATATACGTTTCTCTAAACATGAAATACATTTGAAATACAAAACTTATATATATATATATATATATATATATATATATATATATATATATATATATATATATCGCGATGACAATGCATTGAATATATCGCTGTTATATCGCAGTGAACTTATCTAAGGGACGTTTCATGGAAAAAACTTGATTGGGATAGAATGCGATATCACAAGTTATAATTGTGTCATCGCTGCGATATCTCTGTGATGTGAATGTGTTTGCTAGGAACATATATACAAATTTTGATAAAATCCAGCATTCAGAGAAAGATATCTCGGAAACACTCAATCATTGGAAGAAATGTGTCTCGTTTTCGATAAAGAATCGAAAAATTGTCAGAACAACAGAGTGTTTCATTACAAGTATATTGAAGTATAACTTCAGTATACTGCGCTTTGAGACGCCCTGTACATTCCGTAATATTTCAAATCAAAACCCATGTAGAAAAACAACTCTCTGGTAACCGTTGTACAGACCAAGGCGTTGCTGGTGGTCCGCCCTGTATAATCAAAAGGGCAGATATGATACATTATAATTTGAGGTTCAATGATCAGTTCTACATAAACGGTTTGAAAATGTATAATGATCTACGTCTTTGAGTTAAGGTAATGTAAAAAGTTTCGAAACAAGATTTAGAATATAATATTTCGATATATAGATTAAATTGTTTATATGTGATATATATCAGATGTGTATCATTCATATATGGTAATGTAATAGCTATTGATGCTGTATAAAGCTCTATTCAATTCTATTATATCTTTTGAAGATGTATCAGATCTTTTTCAATAGTGAAAACAAGAGAGCTCTGTTTGTGCCCCACAATTGAAGTGGGACACCTGAAATTTTTGCTCGAGTTTGTAAGATTTTAACTTCTGAGAAAATGGTCCGATTTCAATTTTGTTTCCAGAATTCAGAAGCTCATTCTATTGTCTCAAGACCCATGGATTCGAAGAACTGAAAATATCATAAATTGAAATTGTTCAGGCCGATAAAAGGTACACTGTGAAGTTGCATTGACTTTGGGGTCACCCGATTCCGTCCAAAAATTTTTTTCTGCTTTCTTCATGATGTTTCATGGAGTTCGATGTTATATCTCGAAATGGATTTGATTTTCATTGATTGATCTCATTGTCTCGACAATATTTAGTGGAATGTGTCAAAAATAGGGTGTTTTTTGTTCTATCAATGTTACGAGAGTATTTTGACAGTTGCGTACTCAATAGGAAGATTGAATCAACTGATTTTCATGTACTGACCAATACAAGGTGATTTTCAGAGTTTGATTCAGGGCTCTAATTTTACTTGTATATGGAGATGGTAATGCGTGCGAAGTTTCAGGTTTCTGATCGCATTTCCACTATTTGGGTTATCATACAAATGATTTCTTTCCTTATAATAAAGAAGAGTGTTGAGTAATCTTGAAACAACTCCGAGTTTTTCCTGATCGGGTCAATAATTTCGAAGGAGTATTTTTTCTTCTAACATCACTATAATTATCGAGGTATTTAGGTGACAATCAGAACGAGTTTTGATCCAAGTTCTATGATAATACTGACCTATCGGGAAAATTGATATCATGAAGTTTCACATACCGTGTGTCCCATATGGGATCTCACTGAGACAATACATGTTATTGAACTGTGCGTAAAATGCATAAAATCTTTTATGAGTGAAACCTTATAAGAACAGATGTTTCGAAGATAATCAATAATTAAACACCTTATATAACTATCAAAATTGCAGTATTCAACAAAAATGCTGTAATGCCTATTAATTTAGTGTTGAATCTGCTTCATTGAAACTGTTTGGAACTTCATGAGATGAAATGAGGCTGAAAAAAAAATGCACACCCGAAATTGTATGGAAAGTGTTTCAAGTGGAAGGAATATTTATTTGTATTATGAACATTGATAACAGTTGAAATTCAGTATTCTGTTAGCCCTCCTTTCGTTCGAATCGGAGCTGTTATCCTCCTAGGCATTCCCTTCAAAACATTTCTGATGAAGTTCTGGGGAATGGCTTCCCATTCATTCGATATCGCAGTCGTCAATTCATACAAATTTATAATTTCACTCAACTTTAATTTCATCCGATCCCAAACATGTTCAATTGGATTCATATCTGGTGACAGAGGTGGCCAATCCATCCTCTCGATATTGGTTCTTCTCGATACCTCGGTAATATAGTATCACAATATCTATCAAACATCTATCTCTGTATCGAGATCTGATCTCGATGGTAACGGCACTACTGGTCCTGTCCCGACGAGCAGCAGTTCGGAGAAAATTATCATGTCTGGGCTGAGTAGCCCTAAACCGCCCTCCGCCATGACGATATCTCGTAGTCCCTTGGTTCCGCAAACGGTCAATTGCTCGTTGAACAGTACCTCTTGATGAATTAACAGCATCTACGATTCTTCTAATGGAAAAAATATCATTCCATAACCTGGCTATATTTGCCAATTCAGGTTACGTTAGCCTAGGCATTTTTCAATGTTTACTGTCAACTGCAAATACTATCTGAACACAATATATTCGAATGCAGAGAAGTAGTTGATGCAAAAAACGATAGTTCTATGAAATCAAACCATTTTTTGATCCTAGTTGGCTTTGATATGATATACAGAATGTTTCAATGTATCGATATTGAGAGAAATGAGAAGTTCCTACTCCATCTCAAAAACTATGGTATTTACGTCGACAGTTAACCAAGTAGGATAGAAATTGTCTTGGAACTTCAAAAGCAGATTCATACTCCGTATAAATGCACAATAATCAGAATATCACGAAACTCACTTATGCAATCCGAATTTTGATGAATCAGAATCAATAAAACATGAGGGACCGATCATGATTGAGGATCTGGATACTTGATGATAGTTTTTCGATGCGCCTTGTATCTTCAGGATGGGAAAAATATTCTTATGAACAAGGGAATATGGAGCAATTGAGAATTGATTTAGAATCATTCATTATAGAGATATAATGATAAAAAAATGTCTTTCTGAAATTATTGACGCGATCGAAAAAAAAAAACGAAATTGTTCCAAGATGTCTCATCATTCTTCATTTATGCAACGGAAATATTCATTTGTGTAATCATCTGGACAGCAGAGATGCGATCAAAAGTCTTCAACTTGAAACACATTGCCATGTTGATATAGAGGGAGTGGGTAGGAATGGGTCATTTTTAATAGTTACAAATATCTTTTTCAAACTATTCGGAAATTTTCAGACTTCTTCATGGAGGGTCCAATATACATGCAACAGTAATCAGTATCACTAGTGAGATATTATATATTCCGTAACGAACAAAATAATGTAATTGAATTAACAGATCATGTACTCGTGACTCATTCCTCCTGCTCGCAGGTGGAATGGGTCAGGGTGAATTCAGACAGTGGGAGGATTGGGTCATTGAAGTCAATACATCGGAACATATTCAGATCGAATTTATACGTTTATTACTAACGAACATTTGCAAAAGAACTAAGGTCTACGTCAAAATAGAACACGGAAAACACTCTGTCGCTTCCTCCAGTTTTAGAAGGCGGTGGTAGTTTCATGATATCTTCTTTTTCAACTGTACTTTGATCGAGTACGTTGAGAAATACGAATCCCCTTCCTTTATTTCACAAGAAGTTGATTTCGTACTCGTTCTTTCTAATGTTTTGCGATTCGAGACGGCCTACATAGTGAATCACTGTCGTTTAGGTAGCGAACTTAACCAAAAAAAAATTGCCAATCTCTAAATTGTCCGTGTCGAAGTCGAACTCATCAGTTGGATCTTTTGGTTCGTATGTCAAATCATCGTCTGAATTTGACAAATCTGGTTCATTTTCTTTACTTGTACAGCTTTCATAGGTTCTTTTTTTTTTGTTGAAGATTTTTTTCAAATTCGGAGCGACAGACGACTCTTTGGTTGTGAAATTAAATTTAACTTTTTTTTTAAGGTTTCTTCGACTTCAATTTTTTCAGGAGTGTCCGATAAAATGCGCGTACGGCCTGGTTTCTGTCCCTTACGATTTGTTCTACGCGGGGATGCTTTTGAAAAAGGCACAATATCCTGTGGTAGAAATTTCTGAAACAATAAACAGTTCTATACATATTATGTATCATTCAGTACGAACAATTTCAATCAAGACTACCTTATCACTAGTAGAAGCAATTGGAGTACGAGGTCTTTCCATTTCGATGATCCTATCAACAGAGTCAGTGTGTTCTGCTTGAGGCTGGTCACTGTGTGAACCACAAAGCAATTCAGTGTCGTCATACAATGACTTCGGTGTAGGCTGATTTTGTGCGACGCCACTTGGATCAGGTCGATCAGTGACATAGGACATCATGAAGTCTTCATCAGAAAATATATTTCTGTTGAGATGCCAAATTCCCGTTTTTTCGAAACCTTTTATAATATTTTGCTTGGAAAATGCTAAAGTATATGCTTTATTTTGCAAATCTGCGATATTGTATATTGTGATTGGTTTACCAGGATGGAATATCATCCATTCTTCGCAGACCTGATTATATCGGACTTCAAGAGGACCGTATACAGATACATTCAATGATTGTAGCCTATGGCTACAGTGCGGTGGAAACGTAATCAAGTGCACCCCATGTTCTCTTGCTTCCTCGATTAGCTCGAGGGAAACATGACTCGAATGATTGTCTAGGAACAATACAACTGGTCGTTCTTTTGAACATCGACAATTCTTAACAAAATGAAAGCACGCACGAAGTTATCAGCTGTCATCCAGGCTGATGGATGTCCCAAAATCAGACTATCAGGTGGTGCTCCATTGCCCAATACATCCACGTTTCGCTGTCGAGGAAATATAAATACCGGTGGTATAGTATTTCCAGCTGCACTTACGAATGCACACATCGTGACCAGCTGCCCCCTCTCTCCAGATGTTATTTGGCCAACTTGTTCCATTTCTTTCCGTGCAATGATTTTTGGAGGCCTATAAACAGTTGTAAAAACTTTTTGGTGTACTATTTGGGCTGTATTCAAAATTTGTAATATCTTCTAAAGATTTTGCTTGATCTTCGTATCTTTGAAGTGCAGAATATGAGATATTGTGTGATTTTGCTACCGTTCTGATTGAGGTCCCCTGTATAACCTCTTGAATGGCACTCTTAATTTCATCACTTGTATTTCTGACTCTATCAGTTTTTTTTTCCATATACGAGGCATTGTTCGACCAAATTGAGTAACACCTATAACGAAATGAAAACTATTGGTCTTATAAGAAATCGAGGTAGGAGGAATGGGTCGACCCATTCTTCCTGAAATGATCCGACCCATTCCTCCTGCAAGCTCTAGAAATTTTGAAATTGCCGCTAAAATTTTTCTATGTAAACAAAACATGATTCAGTTGGGGAACGATCTAAATGGATAGTAAGAAGTATGAATCTTTTTAATAGATGATTCTATCGACGAAAATTATCTTATAAACCACTGAAAATCGACTAATTTTACTTGAAAATCTATTTTGATTCACAAAACTATTCAAAACCGTCTGATCACTCTCAACTCACAACAAAAACTGAAACTCGACTCCAAGCATCATCCTAACTGGTTTTTGAGATGTTGGTTGCATACATGGAGACACTAATTTGACTGACCCATTCCTCCCTTAACCCATTCCTACCCACTTTCCCTATACTAATAAAGAATCTAGCTCAAATCAATTCCAGGAAACCACTCTGTATTGGTCATTATATGGAAATGAAGTGATTCGATTTTTTCATGGAGTACGCCACCGTAAAAATCCTCGCGTTACAATTTTTGAAACAAAAATTCCCTATTTTTGACACATTCCACTAGAAAAATCATATTGTCGAGACAATGTATTGAATCTATGAAAATCTAAAACCATTTCGAGATATGACATTGAACTCCATGAAACATCATGAAGAAAGCAGAAAAAAATTTTTTGGCCGGAATGGGGTGACCCCAAAGTTGATGCAAGTTTACAGTGTACCATTAATATCCCTGTACAATTTTGATTTATGATATTTCCAGTTCTTCGAACCCATGGGTCTCGAGACAATAGAATCAGTTTCTGAATTCTGAAAACCGAATTGAAATCGGATCATTTTCTCAGAAGTTATAATCTTACAAACTCGAGCGAAAATTTTAGGTGTCCCACTTCAATTGTGGGGCACTGTATTTCGATGTATAGATTTAATTGTCTATATGTGTGTATCATTAATATATGGTTATGTTATAGCTATTGATGCTGTATAAAGCTCTATTCAATTCTATTATATCTTTTGAAGATGTGTCAGATCTCTATCAACAGTAAAAACACCAGAGCTCTTTTTTATCGAATTCACTTCTCTTGGTAACGAAAAACATTTACCGATCAGTAATTTCACGAGAAGAACTGATATGAAAAAATTGCGAGACCGTAGGTCAAACAATTTTGTCTAATGTCAGTTTTTCGAGAGAAATGACTGACGAAAAATGTTCGAAATTAATCCAATTGAAAAAAAAAGTTCGATTGTTTTTTGGCAAGATGAATCAACGACAATATACAAATAAATAACAATAATGATTATTGATGATTCCGTGTAACTGGTAGGCGGAACTGACTTCCTCATAATTTCGTGGTTACTTCAGATGAAATTTTCCTAAAATGGCTCATCGTGCTAATTTACGCGTGACCCATACCCATCAATCAAACTTGACACGACAGAAATTAGAGTGACTTCAGGCGCAAATATCTATTAGATCAAAGGAGCAGGCAGTTTATCAGCGATGAAAAAGGTGCATCCTTTTTTATCGATGTCATGATGATTCACGTCGTCGTCAAATAGCGATTTCCGTGTAGGAGTTGATATGTCGTAATATGTCGGACAGCCGTGCTTCAAAACTTTCTTTTATAGAATCAGGAAGCTTTGGATTTATTTGCTAAGGCAAGTTTAGCCAAGACATTACCTTCAAAAATCAACACGAATTTTTATCCCCACGCTCTCCTTTCATCTTCACCGAGTACGCACGATGTTTCTTCAACATTATTAATATTTTTGAGCGCACTTGAAGCATATAATAATCAGGAGTATTATCAAACGAGAGATAGTTTCACTCTCAGTATTTATTACTGAACATCTATGTTTCTTCCTGTTATTGCGAAACCACTACTTGAATTCGAGAATTCATCGTTAAAAAAGTCACCATTATTAGTTGAAACTATTCGAAGAAATGATATTCCATTCACTATTGCTATTCACAGAGCGCCTTGTTTACCGTTCAGTTGATTGTATATCAATAGTTTCTGAATAATTTTTGATTTTCGTAAAAAAAGGAGAATTGAAGATGACGTCCGTTCTTTTCTCATTACCGCCGATCAGATTTTGATGATTTTCAGTCTGTTGAAGTGGAACATAGACCTCAAATAAAATAATCCCATCAAAAAAGTCTGACACACTATGAGACTCCAAACTCTGCAAGGGATGCATTCAAACGGTGAAGGAACCTTCCCAACGTGTCTTGTTCACTATTGTCTCCAAAGCGTGATATGATAAAAAGTTCAGATTATTTGAAGGAAAAAATCCATGGACTGCAAATATGCAATATTGATCATTTTGATGAAAATTTACAAATTCGGTGACGATTATGATATATATCTGTTAGATATATTATTATATTCACAATGTTCACCAACCTAACCTAAGTTTTCCTTCAATAGTTATCGCTTAAGTCTACAATTTGAATACGGTGTACATTCATCAAACATTTGGAAGTATCCAAATGAGAAGTTGATCTGCTTATAAGTTTCTTCTAATTACTTTTCAGTTGAGGATTATGGAAGATGAAAGAGTTGCATTTCTGGAAGAAACGGGTGCTAAATTAGATAAACAAAGAAAAATTATTCGAAATCTCGAAGAAGAAAAACACAAGATCGAAGAGGATAATACGACTACCACCTGCATGAATCAGAAAAGAAGTGATCAGAAGATCAGAAAAAATATAATCCGACTTTTGGATGAATTCGAGAAGTATGACATATTGGCCAGAATGAAGAGCGATCAACTCAAAGAATTGGAATTTCAAATTAGGAAGGTATGCACAGATACACGATATCCTTACCTGAAACAGCGGCGATCATAGATTCTCTACCCGCAAAAAAATAGCAAAAGGTCCCAGCACATTTTGTACGGAAAATAGCATTCGGCTAATTTTTCTGAAAATGTTATATGTTTCAGATATTAGCGTCATTATTACACAGTCCAATTCACAGATAGATCCTATGACCAGTTTTCGAGCTACTGGGTGTCAGTTATTCGATTTTGGCTGTTCCGAATATTTTGCATTGATTTGAATCATATGCTAAGTCGCGATACATTTTCAGTAGAAATAAACGCTCCCCGTCTAATGTGTACCTCATGAATCCCTCTATCCGAATAGATAATAATATCGCAAACAGAGTATTGCATGTCATCATAACATGGTGATATTCATGGGAATTGACAAATATTGAAAATATCAGAATTTCGATTTTTACTCAATCACTGAAAACTTGAAAACAAACGGCTAGAATCGGCCAATTATTTGACACACTATATACCTTGATCATCAACATGAGGATTATTATGATTTCCTCTGATACAATGTCCGGTTTGTCATGTAAAGGGTGATGACAATTTGAAAGTTTAAAATTTATTGAACTCATGTACCAAATGAGATAAATATCACGAATGGTTCATAGCTGTTCATATAATATATAGAGTAAAAAATAGAATGTCTCATGAAATACCCCCACCAACCCCCTGAGTCACAAACACCCCAATGCATATCATTTCAATAGCAGCCCCTACTTGTGATACCATATTGAATAGCTCGGTGAGAATGCATTGCAGTGGTATTATTCATATCTCGGACTGGGTGAACATGAAACATTTCTTTTTTTTTTCATTGTTATATATTATAGAAACAGTTATGAACCATTCGTGATATCTATCTCATTTTGTACAAGAGTTACATCAATTCTGAGCTTTCAAATCGTCATCACCCTATATATGGCAAACCGGACATTATATCAGAAATCATATGAATCCTCATTTTGATGATCAAGATCCATGTGTGTCAAATAATTGGCCGATTCTAGTCGTTTGTTTTCAAGTTTTCAGTGATTGAGTAGAAAAAGATATTCTGAAGTTTTCAATATTTGTCTATTCCCATGAATGTCACCTTGTCATGATGGAATGCAATATCCTGTATGTGATAATATTTTCTGTTCGAATAGAGGGAGCGTTCATTTCTACTGAAGATTTATCACGACCTGAAGCACATAATTCAAATCGATGCAAAATATTCGAAACAGCCAAATGATTGACGCCCTGTAGTTCGAAAATAAGGACGCTAATATCTGGAACATATCAAATTTTCAGAGAAATTAGCTGAAAGCCATTTTCCGTACCAAATGTGCGGGGTCCTTGGCTATTTGAACCCAATTTCTTAAATTTCAAAGGATCGTATCAGATTTCACCACAGAACCAGAGATCGACAACTCGCTACTGTAAAAATTTCTTGCGAAAGAGATAGCGTTAGAATCTGTATGATTTCAGACTATTCATAAAACCAACAGGTACAGAGGGGTATCCATCGAGAAGACACACCACTATATTCACGTAATTTTTTATCGAGAAAAAAGAACAATATGCAAAAGTTGAATGCCGCTATGAGGCCTTTTCACGGCCCTTATCAGAAGTTTCATAGAGTGATCTCTGAAAGCATGACAAACCACAGATAATTTTTTCATGGAACATCCTGTTTTTTATATCTTCTTTCGACCCTGAAAACCAATTTTTGTCTGATTCATTGGTAATCACTCGATCAGTTTGGGAATGTGATGTTGCAATATTCAACTGTCAAATATATTCTCATTCATGGGTAACAGGATATTTGAATAAAAGTAAAGTAGGTTAATATAGGGGTGTGCCTCTCAGATCAACAAAAGACCCTAGATAGGCCCACCTCGCAGATTTACATTGCTTGTTGTGAACCAAACATAAACTTTATTATTATTTACGTTTTCCAATGGCAACATCGAATACACGTTGCCAAATCGAGGATATTTGCGGAAGATTCAGAAAATTGTTACATTTTTACTGATAATTATTATACACGATTTGAACTGTGAAGCTTATAAATGACCAAAGTGTATCAAGAAAATATGAAAAATAAACTTCTGAGCCATGCAGCAGAATTCGATGATATTTCCACCATTTACGACATGATGCTGTAAAATGTATTGTATTTTCTCGGTATATCGGATGAACTGCTATTGGCAACGGCGCTTTGGTCATGTCATGTCATTTGCCACATGTTTGTTATGTCGTCCATCTTGGTTTGTTCACTTCGCCGTGAGCTGTTTGTTATTTTGGATATTTGCAGTGTGTTTTGCAGTTATAAACATTATTCTCTTAGTTTTAGTGAGGTTTTAGTAGTTTAAGTGACATTCAGATTACTTTTCCGTACTGTGAAGTGAGCCAGTGAGCCAAAATGGCTAAATATTGCTTTGTTTGCAAAACAATCTCTCATAAACAAACTCTTCATAGGTAAATATTCATAGGCGTAGACTACGTAAAATGCCGTTTGGGTGTTTGTTTTTATTACAATTTGCCACGAGGAAAATCATGTTTGAGTTCAGATGCTATTCCAAAGTTACTGGCAGTTGAAACTATTGAAATGTGAGTTTTGTGCTACCTAGATATTGTTAAAGATTATTTAGGAAAGTTTCATACTTATTAGGTAGTCAATTTTGAAGTAGCACCATCTTCACAGACTTTGAAGGCGTACTGGAGTCAGTGGGACTCCTTGGTATTTCCCTTGGAGGGGCTTTAGAAACATCAGCAGGAAGGCAGGAGTACAACGATCATCCTGTATCACGCATCCCAGATTGCTCTCCAACCTCTCAATGATTTCTACATACACCAGCATATTTCCGAACACTCAATATATGCCGCAGTGACAAAGAACGTCACAGAAGATTCTGGAATGTTCTGGAAACAATCGATGGAACAATTAGAGAGAGAGGTTTTGTTCTAAGAAGCTTCCAGAACAAAAAGAAGGAGACGGAAGATCATTCGAGAAGGTTCTCGAGCCAAAGCCTGCCCAGTAATTTCATATATAAACGGCCGAATAACTGCCGTCAGGGAGTCGAGCAGCGAGTGTCAGAGAGACAGTTATATACCGCGTGATATAAATCGTTTCACATAAATAGTAGTTATAAGTTCGTTAGAAATTAGTGTTTCTATAGTTCAAATAAATCAGTTCGAAAATAAATAGTGTCGTGTTCGCTTCTGCACCCGAATAACGTAACAGTATTTTCTCGGTATATCGGATGAACTGCTATTGGCAACGACGCTTTCGTCATGTCACTTGCCACATGTTTGTTATGTCGTCCATCTTGGTTTGTTCACTTCGCCGTGAGCTGTTTGTTATTTCGGATATTTGCAGTGTGTTTTGCAGTTATAAACATTATTCTCTTAGTTTTAGTGAGGTTTTAGTAGTTTTAGTGACATTCAGATTACTTTTCCGTACTGTGAAGTGAGCCAGTGAGCCAAAATGGCTAAATATTGCTTTGTTTGCAAAACAATCTCTCATAAACAAACTCTTCATAGGTAAATATTCATAGGCGTAGACTACGTAAAATGCCGTTTGGGTGTTTGTTTTTATTACAATTTGCCACGAGGAAAATCATGTTTGAGTTCAGATGCTATTCCAAAGTTACTGGCAGTTGAAACTATTGAAATGTGAGTTTTGTGCTACCTAGACATTGTTAAAGATTATTTAGGAAAGTTTCATACTTATTAGGTAGTCAATTTTGAAGTTGGTTCTAGTTCTCACACTTCATAATAGGAAATGGGGTAGTTTTAAATTTGTGTATTGATTATTTATCTCTCAGAATTCAAAAGTTCGACTATTGAAATGAATTTGAGGATACTTCTAGGTAGTAATGATAGGCAGCTGTGTATTTTGCTCAGACAATAGACTTTTTGTGTTCATTGGTTTATTGGAGCCAAACAAATCTTCTAAAGGTATGATGCAAGTGTAGAAAAGCTGTAGTGTATGAAACTTCTTGTCTTATACATGCAGTTTTGATATTTCTGTCAGGAATTACTATATTTATTAATTCAAAAATTTGTTATTTCAATTTTTTTTTAATAATACAACAAAATGAGTGTTGGTACAAATTCTTCACGTAATGAATGTCATAGCTGACAGAAAATCCCAATAAACTCAATTTTTACTATTTCGTTAAGCTCAAAAATCTACTCCCTTGCCTCAGCCCTCTATTGGTGAATAAGATAAAATATTCTCATTTTTCAGTGCTGAAAGTTCTGCTGAAGTAGCAGTTTTTGTGGACTAAATATCTCCTGAACATTCACCTAGCCAAACTATTGAAATGCATTTTTCAAGGTAATAATTACTACAAAATTACTACAATCTTTGTAATTTATAGGTATTTTTGTTTCACTATCAGTTCAAAAATAATGAAACTGATATGATCAACCTGAATACATTGTTGATTGTATTATGCATGAAAAAGTGCTCAAACAACTCTGAACTAATTTTATTGGTAGGTCGCCTACAACCTCAACTTCAACGGCTTCTGAAATAATGAATATAGATGTTGGTTCTTCCATAATGAAGTGAGTGAATTTTATTTCAAAAATTTCAAATAATTCACATCAAATTTTCAGATCTCCTTCATTATCTACAACTTCAACAGCTCCTGAAATGATTGATTCTATGAAAGATAAATATTATGAGACTATCAAAATCAGGTAAAATCTCTATTAACCACAGATATCAATACCATTCATTGAGGGGATTGTATATCTCAAATAACTCATATGTTCTTTTTTTAGATCCCCTGCATCATCAACTTTCACAGCCCCTGAAACGATTGATGCTACAAAAACATTATTGACCATATGATTAAAATCAGGTACAATACAATACATTGAAAACTCACAGCAATATTCAAACTTTTGCTCAATGTTATAACAATATAGTTTTTTTTTTCGTTTTTTTTTATATGTTGGATTTTATCAACAAATTTGTCAAGTAAAAAAATGGACTGTTTCACAGTTCTCCAGCATCTTCTACTTCAACAGCCCCTGAAATGATTGATACTATGAAAAATAAAGGTGATGAGACTTTCGAAACCAGGTAAAATTTCTATAACTTCACAGATAACAATGTCATTCATTGTTTAGAATTAGAATTTTTCATGAAATTTTTCTGAGGACAAAGAGTTAGGTCTCTTTTGACTAAAACAATTTCATTTAAGAATCAGTGAAATTCTTAAATGTACCTACTTTTCAATATTTCAAATACATTTAATTTGTGTGTAGTCAAACAAAAACCCAATATTCGAATATTTTCGCATTTTTCAATTGAGCATACTGTCTTGAAATTATAAATTCAAATAGATGAGACATCTTATTTATTTTTTCACTTCTAGAAGTTGAAATTAAAGTCATTATTCCAAATTTTTTGGGATTTTCTCTCCTCGTTTCTATAAAATAAAAATATGAATATTATTTCAATATACGTGTAGTAAGGACAAATCAGATGATTTGCCCCAAAATGTCACTGCGTTCAAAGAATTTTCCTATCAGAGAGCCTAAAAGAAAAATTCACTAGCTTGTCAGTGACAATTTGTATTGAAAAAATTTTTGGAGAAGGGAAATAAAGGTATATAGAAAAAATATCAAATTTTCACTTATCTTTGGACGTTTCGGGACCGGTTCTGCTCCCGTTTTCAACATGAGAAGAGATTATTTCAATAGTGAAGTCGTATAATGTCTTGAAGCTTTTCAGTTTTCAATGACAATTGGTGACGTTGGCAATCAAATGAGTTACAGGATGTTTTCATTAATTGATCTTGAATTTACCATTTTCATGGTATTCACTACTAAAATCTGAACCAATTGTCATTGAAAACTGAAAAGCTCCAAGACATTATACGACTTCGCTATTGAAATAATCTCTTCTCATGTTGAAAACGGGAGCAGAACCGGTCCCGAAACGTCCAAAGATAAGTGAAAATTTGATATTTTTTCTATATACCTTTATTTCCCTCCTCCAAAAATTTTTTCAATACAAATTGTCACTGACAAGCTAGTGAATTTTTCTTTTAGGTTCTCTGATAGGGAAATTCTTCAAACGCAGTGACATTTTGGGGCGAATCATCTGATTTGTCCTTACTACACGTATATTGAAATAATATTCATATTTTTATTTTATAGAAACGAGGAGAGAAAATCCCAAAAAATTTGGAATAATGAATATACCACCTCCTCGATTAACCTACAGACTGAAATTAAAGTTTCCTGAAATACAATTGGTATCTTGTTGAACCATCCTTTGGGTGTATGTGTATATACTGTATATCATTTTTCAATTATTTTTACTATTTTTTCAATCATCCTATATGTTATTAGCCCGATTCGCTAATTCAGGGCATGAAGTATATTTCTACCAAGTTTCATCCACATATGTGAAGTTTGAGGCCTGTATTATTATTTTTCCAATTACCCTGTATATAATTTGTTTTTAAAAAATATGAGGCCACCTCTGGATGTTCAAACTTTGAATCATCAAAATCAGCCAAGCCGTCTTCAAGTAATTGGTGAACATAAGTCTCTGTATCTTAGGTCTCACTTTATTTTCATATTTATGAATTTATGTATATTAGCTGAGTGTGCCTATACCTTTTCTATAGAAAATTGAACAAATTTATTATTAAATATAACATATATTTATAGCAGGCATTACCATAAACAAACACTAGTGTTTTATGGAGCTTCAGTTGATTTCTACCTATAATAATTGCCTATATTACTATTTGTTATGTGTAAGTACTTTCAACTGAAAATTAAAAAATCTGTATTGTTGATGTGTTTGGATTCATTAAGTAATAAATTACTCTGCCCTTTTATGCACTCATTTCTTTGTACTAACCAGTACTGGAATTGAAATATAATTCATTGTTTTTTATTAAACCATATTAATAATGGGATTTCAGATTTGAACACCTTAATGAATATATCCCTACATTATGTGTTTCAAATTCCTATGTGAAAATAAACGTAGTTTGACAGAAAATTTGAGTTTGGGTTCGAATTTGAAAAAAAATTGTTTAATGTGAAGAATAATATCATTTTGTCAATGTTTTGACCCCTTGGGAAAAGGCCGGCACTGGATTTTTGTTGTTTTGTTTTGGTCGAATCGTCGTGAACGTAAACTAAACACAGTTATGTTTGATTCACAACAAAGCAGCTATGGGCCAATCTAGGGTCTTTTGTTGATCTGAGGGTGTGCCTTTTCGAAGGAATTGAACATTTCAGTACCTAGTTGGTACTTCATTATTCGTTTGACAAATCTGTAAACCAAAATGATTCGTGAATAACTTGCGTGTTTTCATCCTTCTCGAATCAATTGTAATGATATTCGCATATTGTCCAACGTCGCAATGTCCGAGTCGCGCATGCTAACGATAGTATATTACGTAATATGAGTAAGAAGCATACTTCTCACGCACGAATGGAAAAGAAACGCACGTAGCCGCGGTTCAGCGAGTGCGTAATCACTTCACAATACGCATTACGTACTATACTATTACGTTATTCGGGTGCAGAAGCAAATACGGCACAATTTATTTTCTAACTGATTTATTTTAACTCAAGGAACACTGATTTATATCGAACTTATAACTACTATTTATATCACGAGGTTTATGACTATCTCTCTGACACTCGGTGATTGACTGACTAACGGCAGTTGTCCGGCCCTCTTTTTATATGAGATTTCTTGGTATGCTCTGCTTTTCGAACGTTTTCGAATGATCTCTCGTACCTGTTCTATACCTTTTGGAGTTCAAATTGAGACTTATCAATTCGAAATATGGATTAAACACATCCAACTTGGTACAGAAATCAAATCGGGAATAATCATTTTCGAATTTAGAATTAACAGTTTCCAATTGGAAATTAACACTAACAAATTGATTGACACAGTCAACATGAGAATAAACTCCTTCAATTTGGGACGAGACAACTCCAAATTGGAAAACGACAACTGCAAATTCGAATTGTCAAAGTTGTGTCAAAATCGAGATTGAATAATAGTGATCATTCATCGTTCTTGTTTTGTAATGAGTTGATCTGCCTTATATTGAAAAAAAAGGTGCAGACAATAGCAAAAAACAATGTTGTGCAGTTTTCACTTATAATGGTGATCGGAGGGGACTGGCAAATACACTCGGCGTGAAAAAATCAACGGCTTATCGATAGGTGAAGAATCGGGACGAAGTAGAAAAACAAGTATAATGCGGAGTTCTCTTCACGTCAAGTGAACAGCACAAATACTTCGGAAAAGCCCGCCGGAATTAGATACTGCAGACATTGTAAAATTTAGTTAGTGGTTTGATATACATCCTCCCTTCCCACAAATCAAGTGAACAGCACAAAGGCTTCGGAGAAGCCCGCCGGAATAAAGATACTACAGACATTGTCAAATTTAGTTAGTGGTTTGATATTGTTCTAAAATTGTTGTTCTAAAATTGTTCTATCCGTCATTCGGTTGCCCCCTTACGAGCAACCCTCAGAAGTCTTCGAAAGACTTGTGCGAGCAAGGAATGACGGGGGCCTTACCTTTTTAACGTGTGATCCCAAACACTTTCTTAGGCCATCAGAAAAAGTCTGCGTTCGTGGGTCTCGAACCCACGATCGATACCTCGACGTGAATCGATATTGAAGCATCGAAGCACTGAGGTACATCCTCCCTTCCCACAAATCAGTGAAATTTCCAATACAGGGTTTTTCTACGAACCGAACCGATTTCTCAAACGACTCGACACGTGTAAGCAGTTTCAGGAGAAGAACTGTGAAGTCACGTTAATTACGAGTGCGGTGATGAAATATGTCGAGCTGTTGAAGAACCAAGAAAGAAGATATTGGATTTTCAATATGAGACATCGAGTTGTGTCGCAAAAATCGTGCGCTCCCTCTTCCCTTTGTCAGCTCATCGATAAAAACCCACGATGAATTGATTGCATTTGACCCAACTTTGCTTTTTCAGCAGATGTGTATAAGCGAAAGATCTTATCATCATCGAGTCAGTTTATCTCCTTATCGAAGAAAAATCTTCATGACAGTGGAGTATAGACTCTTCCGATGATGCTGACGTCCTCACCGTGAAGACTGCTATAGAGCAATCAAGTCACAATTCTGTGGCTGTTGTTGGTGAGGATGTAGACCTCGCTGTTCTTCTGATAGCTCACACTTCTCCTGTTAGAGATATCTTACTGCTGAAACCCAGATGAGACAAAAATCAAACAACGGTACTGTCAACCGAAGAGATACAGCAGCATAGACTCAAACATATATCCTGTTCTCACATTGATTTACCAGCTGCGACACAATGTCTGTGACGTTCATAATTTATCTGAGAATATTCCTTTTCAACACAATCATAAAGAAATTATGGAATCAAAATGAATACGGGCACGGTAGCTCGTATGTGGTGGCAAGAAGGGTGGGATGACTCCAATATTTTGCTAGGCTCTTGAAAATCTTCCGGTAGGCGCCACCCAGTTTGTTTTAATCGAACTGGTAAATTGTAGCTATGGAGAACTCAACAGATATCCAAAGGTATAATGGGATATTCAAAATGCTGAAATAAAAATACATGAATGAGAACAGGATAGGTGAACTTCGAGGCTACATCTGATTTTTATGAAGATTCCTTCAGAATTAACAATTTTCCGGGTAGGTTATCAACATACATAAAGCATATTATTATCCTATATGCTACCTCAACACAATGCCAGCAACGGCAATTCGATTCTTATACTAGATAATTTCATGGACATCTCATTACTTGCGAACATCTACCTAATATTAACAAACTATATGTACGTAGGAATACTGTAGAAATTTTAATTATCAGTATATTATGGAGTCTATGAAAATTGCTAATTGGTATCACTTTCACATTCTGATCAGTGACAAACTCTGCCATTGGAATTGAATGTATGCTTACTTCCTTATTTGCTTCGAAAACAAATACAACCTATTAACAACAGGGAAATCCTCTATCACCAATCTAAAGCAAATTATCAATATCATATAATTAATTAAACATTATCACATTACTATTCAACATACTTTGAATTGATGAAGATGGTATTGTTATCATTCCATGAAGTTATGATTTCTCTTGTTGATATGATTGGGAAAGGACACTGAGTTTCACATGATGTTTGTAATAAAGTGATGTCGCTTTATCACTCAGTATAACACCCACCATTCGATGAATTGTCATGTAATTTGTTGATCCATTGTTATTGTTCTTGATAATTTATTATATTTTGACGTTCATAAACATCGTGGTTAGGACAACAATCAGCTGGTAGGACTGAGTCCATAAAATCTCCTTCGCTTTTTAATTTCGCCTAACAGTGTTGTAGTTGGTCGAATAGGATTTGACCACAACCAAGAAAGGTTTCATATGACGCAGAGTAGATGACCGTAAACAAACGGATATGGATGAGATCGAGTGTGGTGGATTTGAAATCTGATCAATTTATGATTGGATAGAAGTAGTTATTGGGGCATGTTTGACGGACAAAGGGGGCGTGGCCTGGGCGGGGCGTCAGTTGGGGATGTGGGGTGGAGTCTAGCAGGGGGTGGAGTAATAGAGGGGGTGGTGGGGCGGTGCTTGGCTTGTATTGGACGTGGGTGGGGCAATTGTTTTCATTGGCTGTTGGGATTCTCTGATGGCCGACGTGGGGGTGTACCTTTCAAAGTGATTGATGGTATCTGGTTGGAGCAGTGCTTGGACTGGATTGGACGTGGTTCCAATGTTTCCATTGGCTGTATTGTCTGATAGCTTGACGTGGAGGTGTACCTTTCCAAGTGACTGATATGGGGATTTCGTGGTTGGTAGGGGAGATATAGAACGGGAGAGGCGTATAGTTGAGGTGGCATCATTCATGACGTGAAAATATGTGCCATCTTGGATGTGGTGTATGTTTTGTGGTGTATAAATAGTTGACTCCATTGACCTGTAGGTGTGGTCTACTACGTATACCGATATAATTGGATTCCTCACTCTATCTCTCCTCTCCCTGCCTTTCGCTCCCCCTCGCTCTCTCTCTCTCTCTCTCTCTCTCTCTCTCTCTGCATATTCCTTCATTGAGTTGAATGTGGATCTACCCATTCTTCCTCTCCTCTCCTTGCCTCTCGCTCCTCTCTCTCTCTCTCTTTCTCTCTGAATATTCCTTCATTGAATTGAATGTGGATCTAACTATTTTTCAATTCATCTCTCTCTCCCTCTCTCTTTCTCTCTCTCTCTCTCTCTCTGTATCGAAACAATGGAAAACATCCACCCACACACACACACACATACCCTCTTTCTGACACTTCACAGTCCTCTATCGAAATTACTCTATACACCTATTTATTCAGCATACGGTCGCAATGTCATGTGAATCAAATTCTAACGATACAGGACCAACTGTGGAATAGGCATTCAAAAGATAACAAAAAAGAAGAAGGATATCACTGCACATAACGGCGTAACCTGGTTGACCGACTGACGTAGACTGGCGTACTAACCTTGACTTCATCTGATTTGAGCAGTTTAGGTATGCGCGCGCACTTCACCCACAATATGGCGTTGGGGAGAAGGCAATAGGAAGATGGATCATTTACGAGGAGACAAACACTGCATCTCTCTCTCTCTCTCTCTCTCTTTCTCTCTCGAATGATGGTGTATCTATCTCCGTCTCTCTGTCCATTTCTCTCTTCCTGTCGGTTCTTCCACCTACCAGTCCATCCGCTTGCCCCTCCTGCTTTCTGATACCTGCTCTCCCTACTCCTACTCTACCACTCCTACCAGCTGCCACACCTGCCATCTGCCACTCCTGCTACTTGACACCTGCTCTGCCACACCTGCTACCTGCCACTCCTGCTACTTGACACCTGCTACCTGCCACTCCTGCTACTTGACACCTGCTCTGCCACGCCTGCTACCTGCCACTCCTGCTACTTGACACCTGCTACCTGCCATTCCTGCTATTTGACACCTGCTACCTGCCACTCCTGCTACTTGACACCTGCTACCTGCCACTCCTGCTATTTGACACCTGCTACCTGCCACTCCTGCTACTTGACACCTGCTCTGCCACGCCTGCTACCTGCCACTCCTGCTACTTGACACCTGCTCTGCCACGCCTGCTACCTGCCACTCCTGCTACTTGACACCTGCTACCTGCCACTCCTGCTACTTGACACCTGCTACCTGCCACGCCTGCTACTTGACACCTGCTCTGCCATACCTGTCATCTGCCACACCTGCTACCTGCCATATCTGCTACCTGCTACTCCAGCTATCTACCAGTTTTTCATCTTTCACTCCTGATATCTGCGACTTCTGCTAACCACCGCTTCCACCATTCAGACAATTGATCTCCCTCTCTCACACACACTTTCTCTCTCTCTCTCTCTCTCTCTCTATTTCTCTCTTGTCTCTCTCCATCTTCATCTTCTCTTCTCTTCCATTTCATCGATAAAAAAAAACAAAGCCATGAGGTTCAACGTTATAATTGATACGAATTGAAAATATATTACAGAAAATGTAGACATATATTCACATAAATGAACAGGGTGTCGCGAAATCCGAATGGCAACCATTGCCAGGTTATACCCCTGTGATCTGATAATGAACTAGATAGGAACATGAGCTACTCAAGTTATCAGTTTCAGTTCGAATATATAGATTTCAATAGGGATTAACTAAACGAAAAATGTGTTCTAAAATTTGTTGTAAACGACTAAATTATACTCAATTACATCTGGTTGATGATTCAACCTGAATCCCAATTTTGACTTAGTTATCACATTCAGTGATACACCAAAGGGTTGTAACTTCGTCTCTTATTGTTTTTGAAGATGAAACAATTCACAGAATTCAAATGCAGAATTACAACAGTTTATGAGCTACTACAAAAAAAAAACATTATCGGACGTCAAAACCCTATATTCCAAGAACAATGCACTTGAGGAACTTTTATCCCTACCAAATAATAATAATGATGATGATAATAATGATAATAATAATAATTATAATAATCATAATAATAATAATATAATGATAACAATAATAATATTCATTCATTTTCCAAATGGAATAGTACAGCAATATTGTTACAATGTAATGTACAAGAATTAGAAAAAAAGTCAACAAAACCGTATGTACATACACATAAAACACGAAAATATGAGGTCCAAAACAAGTAAATAAATGAAAATAAATAATCCATCATCATATCATCACCACCCATATACTTGAATGATATATAGGAAACTTATATTCAAACAGTAAAATAATGTTCGTGAATCAGAAATACCTTCTTGAGAAAACTTATATAAACAGTCAAATGACGTGTACTTATTTAGAAATAGCATCCTGATATAATGGAGAAAGGGGGTGATGGAATTTTCAATCAATTTTTGTTCTTTTAAATCCATATGGCACAGAACTATAATCGAACAGGAACATTCTCTTCGTAGAGTTAGTCCTATAAGTTTTTGTTTCTTCTTGCGTAACTACTGCGTGTTCTTTTGTTCTTCTAATATTCCTGGAGGTTATGTAGATGGGTTCAGATGGAGTCAAAATCATGTTTCTGATGGACTCAAAATTTACCAGTTTGGATGCTGCATATGTTAATGAAATTCCCTTCACCTTACATACTATCTCTTGACGCTGTTTCTGCGTTCCCCATATCTGATAGGCGTAATTTTTCGGGCCTCCAGAAACAAATTCGGTGATATAGGATCCAGGCCCATACGCTTCCAACTCATCCGTCATATCCCCAATGAATTCACCAGTCGGAATATCGAACTCTCCCTGTCTTGATACGTATATTACTGAATCGGTGTAATATAAGACACGATCCCCCAGTTGTTCCAGATAGCCATATAGCTTAAGTCGGGCCTGAGAAGTTACATAAGCGGCTATTGCTACGTTAACTGTAGTCAATACATCATATGATTCAGCAGTATGCCGGAATCCAACTATCAAAGTGGTGTCATTGATGGGTAAGACGTTATCAACTTCTATAGAGGGATTCGTCAACATTTCGAAAAACTCGCTAGAGTCATTAACAATTTTAGTCTTAGGTTGGTTTTCTCTTTGACCAAACTTTCCCCAGAATGAATTTAAAATCAGTTTGGCCAGCGAGCGGAGACCGGGGTTTTCTACGATCTCATCGAATTCTAACTGAACATCTTCTCGATCGAGAAATTGTTCAATATATCG